TTAAAACTACCCAGCTCTCTGGCTATGGAATGAGGTCTGGAAGGCACTTGCCACTGCCTCTGTCTGCCCCCTCCATTGGGCTGCTCTTTCCACACCAGCCTCGATAACCCCTCTGTCGCCCTCCGTGTGTGCTCCTGCCTTGCAGCCCGTGTCTCCTCCTTCCTTTATGCCTCATGTTTTCCATTTGCCATCACTCATTTCTCTCTTTCTTTTCAAAAAAATCCTATGGCCACTTATCATTTGAGTTCTCTTTCTGCATCTTTTTTGGTTTACCACCTCATTTCTTTGTCTTCACTTCACGTTTCTTTCCAGCTCTCCAACAGCCGTAGTGCCTGAGGGCACCCCAGCTTGAGGTATTCTCATTGCTCATCCAAAATAGCTTTCAGCTTTGAGTCTAATTAAGTTGTTGTTGTTAAAAGAAGATAAACAAACAACACCTCCCTCCTCCTTTTCTGTCCAAGAACCCAACGTTATGAAAATTGTAACAAAAACACGAGAGTTTTTAATCCTGGTGGTGTACTGTGCCGGTCCTGTGAGCTATTCCTGAATGCAGAGGAAAATTTGAGTTTCTGATTCTTTTTTATTTAAAAATTTTACAGTAGGTATTAACTTGATATGTGGTCAACTTTAAAACAATAGGAAAGTATATGATTTGCTGTGTCTGACATATACGAAGAATGTTGTTCTGGGTGGGGTTTTTTTGTGTGTTTGTTTTAAAACATGAATTCAAAAAGGTTCCTGACTCTACTATAGTCAGAACACAGCAGTTACAAAAGGTGGTTTCATCTGTAGCATGTGTTTCATGCTTTTAGAGAAAGGATTGATTCAGTCCCTCTCTCCATCCCTCTCTCCTTTCTCCCCTCCTTCTTCTCCCTCTCCTTCTCTTCCCCTCTGCCTTTCCCTCTCTTTCCCCTCCGTTTCCCCTTCCCTCTGTGCCTCCTTCACACCACTACTGACTGTTCTTTCTCACTTGTGGTGGGAGAATGAAACTAGGTAATGGGTCTACAAGTTGCTATTCTTACTCTTGGGTCATCTGTACTCCAAAACACGAAGCAAAATTTCTTGCATCTTTTGTAGATATAAGAAAGAAGGTCTCTGTAACCAAGCTACCAACTTCAAAGAGGTGAATATTAAGAGCTTAAATGTTTCTGGGCCAGTCAAAGGAAAACAAAAGGCTCTACAATAGTTAGGAAATTTCTCATTGGTTCCAGGTACTCTCCTGTTTAAAAAAAGAACGAAAAGTGAAGGTAATTTTTAAGGTGCCTGTAGTATCTGTGCTATGGGGCAAAGCCAGTCCTGATCTGGGGCTGGAGGCCAAGTTTGCTGCCCTGCTCCCTGTTCTTCTGGGGCAGTTAAGCTGATCCGCTTTGTGCTCCCCCAGCGGCTGTCGGGGCCTGACCCGGCTGGGTCTCCGTGTCCCCTCTGGGCTTCTAGAGGAAACACTGTACCAATGTCTGAGTTATGTAATAACCTGGGGTTCTTCCTAGGCAGGCCACCTGCGTTTCCCACCGGAAGGGCACGTGGGATTCTTAAGTTGTTGATTAAGACAAAGATTTGAGGGGGATCCAGGCTTCAGCATGTACAGCTTGCTCAGGTGAGTTTAGGCAGGACAAATTCTTCTGCCTCTTCTCTGTTTTGCATCGGGTATGTGCAGGTCAGCTAGTCTTTTTTTACGTGTCTTGCATATTGCCCGAATCCTCGACTAGTGATTGACTTTCTTTGCTGGTGCTTGTTGTCTATCTTGCCACCGAGGCAAAGGGTTGTAATTCCTGAGACTCCCTGGCCTCTGGTAATGTTACTGTTGTTTATTCATTCCCCTACAGAGTGTAAGAGAGACGCCATTAACTGTAAATATCACCTCTTTGCCAGTATATTTAGCACCAGGTGTGTGGTAGAAAAGATTCCTTTTTTCAGAATTTCTTTTTACTTAAGGTGTACATTTAACTGCTCCTGCATAGACTTTGTTTTCCCCATCGTGAGAAACATCCTGGTAGAATATAGAAGTTAAAAACATATTTATGAAAAAGATGATGATGATGGATTGAAAACAACAACAATGTTTGGGGAGGCTTTGTAATTCACCTTTTTAAAAACGGACTAATTTTAAAACTGTTCACATGTAACAAAGCACACTGGTCTCTTAAGCACTGGCACAGTCCAATATGGGTGATACAAATCCTTGATCTTCTACACCATAACTTTTGAGGAGCTGTGTTCTCCAGAAGTGAAATTGGGTAATAAAAAGCAGGTCCTGTTGCTTAGCTGATGACTGAGTGTGAATAGAAAGTGTTTGCAGATTTCTCTCCAAAAAAGCCTGGAAGAGGGTGCTGTATATTTGTTAGATTCCTTCTGAAAAGGCCCTTCAGTGTCAGCTCTGAGGAGCGTGAGCTGGGGAGCAGAGCGGGCCAGGGATGCTGAGACTGAAAGGGTGGAGAAAGCAGACAGTGAAGGACATCTCAAGGCTTCCAATAAATAGTATAAAAAGATACTGGAATCCTAAAGACATATTATTGCAGAGGGGGATGGGTTTAGAGGGAGCTTACACTCTTGCTATGAGCTTTCTAGGAGCTAGAATTATATTTCCCAAATTAATAAAATCTCAGGAGGGATGAAAAACTGTAAGTGTATGTAGTTTTACATACAAAGTAGGAAACTGAGAGCATGAAGAAAAGAGGCAAACATAAGATGACTCTAAATTATAAGTGTAAAGTTTAACAAAAAACAAGGCTGTCTTAGTACAAATTATTTTTCTATTGTGCTGATTTTACTTTCTTTCTTATTTGCAAACAAATTGTAATGATTGAAGCTGAGATGCTTTAAATATCGGCATAGTTGAGCCTGGTTAGGTGTTGTGACCTCCATTTTAATGTCTTGTTTAGGCTTGAATGCAACCCCGTTAACTGGGCAGAGCCCAGCATTTTTGAGTTGTATTAAATCCATACAATTTTTTTGATTCAAATATGAATTTGATTTTCATTCGTGCTTGTTGTCATAATAGCTCAACTTTGTGCCGAGGGTCGCTTATTATTTGTTGAGTTCTAATGCTCTGCTTAGTATAAACACAAATGTAAAGGTTATCACTCCCCAGAGTGTGGCAAACTTGGGAGGCAAACAGGAAATCGCAGGATTTTTAATGTCATTCGGCAAATGGGTAGTTTTGTGCGTGCTGTGGGAGAGGTGGCAATTTCAGAGGAACTTGACTGAAGGGAAGAGATGTTTGAAGCTTGGTGGGAGTATGGGGTGGGAAGATAGGCAGGATATGTCTTGTGGACAAAAAAAATAGCTGGGAAGTAAATGAGTTTATATAAAGGTTGCTGAGGCTGATACACTATTAGAACATAAACTGAGTAGGAACATGGTAAAAAGCTCCATCAAATATTTACATTTTTGATGTTGGTGTTCAGGTACTGTGCGATGTTAAGATGACAGTGGTGACAGGAACAGAGTTGTGGTGGACCTGAATTTAAAATTATGTGTATTGCTTAAGGAAAGGGTAATTTGATGAGCACCTTTGTTTCTTTTTGGCTATTTATTTCATCTAGTTCTTCTTCTCTCGATTTCCTCTTTTTTCATTTGCTACTCTTCTACTTTTAAAATAGTTTCAATGACAAATCTTACTCTGCAAGCAAGTCACGACATGTACCACTATTTTTCTTCCTTAAGATTTTTTTCTAGCATAGAGGCTTGTAACTGTTGTAGATGCCAAAGCCTTCGGGCATGTTTCCAGGAAGCATGATATGAATTTTATAACCCCTAGACAGCAGTCACTGCAGGTTGGGGGGATGTTGCTTTTTATGCCAAAATCTGGCAAAGTCTGTCTAATCTCATTAGCTAATTCTTTCACTTGTGTTTTTGTAGGCTTTAAGTGCTGCCTTTTCCCCTCCCGTTTTTTATGAAGAGGGTGGTCTGGTTCAGCTGGACTGTTCTCAACTATTTTGTCAATTTTTAGAAATCCTTTATGTGTTACTTTCCTGTCTGTACATTGTTGACTTGAAACTCTATTTGTGAAATTATGCCGTTCAAACACAAGTGCACTATTTATTTACAAAACTTTATATAAAAAACAAGCAAACATAACCTTTTAAAATCTTCTTGTAAATGAAGGAACAGAGGAACAGAGGAACAGAGGAAAGCAGGAACAGATCTTATAATATTGTTTACCACGTGTCTTTGGTTTTTTAAGGTAGCCTGATACCTAATTTGTTTTTAAAATCTGTTAAAACTGGATCAGTAAGTCTGAAGTCAGGTTTTTGGAAAGTTACTGATTTTTCTTTAAGAAAATTAGTAAAAATAGTCATATAACCAGAATATTAAACTGTTAAGTAGTGCTTTGTGAACTAAAAGCTGTTGTAAGGAAATCTCATGTATGGACATAAAACTGCACCAATGTAATCCTTACTATTCATATTTGGGACTAGAAAAGGATTATTCTTTTACGCAGTACTAGAAGAATCGTTCCCAGCTCACCTGGTTGTTCAGCTTGGTGCCTTCAAAGAGATTTCACATAGAGTCTGCTGGTGAAGATGAAGGGTGTGTGATGGAGACTCAGTTCACCCATATGAGTTTCATTCCCAGTACAGGAGATTTTGATGGAATAACTACATTTAATTCTGCTTTCAAAGCTGTAACCTCGTTTCATGCCAGTCAAATGATAGAAATGTGGTCTCAAAAGCAAATTAATTATCCACTAACTACTGAATGGTACCTTGTGCGTAAACAAAAGGCATTTACCTCATACCCCATTGATGCATCATGTAATAAATGTGACAGTTATGGCTTTTTGTCTTATCTCTCTCTTCCTGCAGTGTCCATAAAAGTGTTTCTCACTTGTAACAGATGGTCAGAGCACAGCTTTGAAATTTATCTGGAGTTGAAGCCCTGTTGATTCCATTAAAAGTGAAGAGTTTTCATGCAGATGGAGACAAGGAGGGATTTATTGTTCTTACAATTCTGATGATGAGGTATTTCATACAATGCCTTCCTTTCCTTTTTGCTTGCAGGTGATGTGCCTTCAGGATTTCTTTGGCGATGATGACATTTTTATTGCATGTGGACCAGAAAAGTTCCGTTACCAAGATGATTTCTTGCTGGATGAAAGTGGTAAGAAGATGTATTTTAAAAATACTTACAACCAGAGTTGAGAGCAGATTTCCATATCATGCTAATTAAGCCAAAACTGTATCACCTAAATTGATTTCAGAAAGTAGATAAATATTTTTGTTCTTTAACTTCTGAAGGTAACTGACAGCAACATTAAAGCTGCCAAAGGAGAAATATCTGCCCGTGCAGCATAAAATTTTCCTTCAGCCTGAATTTCATATGCCGTAGGAAATAGTAATGCCTTTGGTTGAACTAGTTTTCAAGGTCTCTCTTTTGTCTTTATTTTCTCTTTGAATTTATTCTACTTCTTTATCACAATCTTTCAACCTCACGGCTCTTACAACTGAGATTTAGATAATACTTCACAGGTAGTATGATAAAGGAAGATAGATACAGTTCTCTATGGAAGATAAATATAATCAGCAAATGCAAACAAAATCATCTGAGAAAAGTCAGGGAGTTCTCTGTTTTCCAAGACTGACTAATATAATAATGTAATCAATATACTTAATACTCTAAGGAAAATAAATGTTTGATTTGCAAATACCTTTATTGTTACAAAGAATATTCCTAACTTAGGAACTATAGCAGTAAAGAGAAAAAAAAAACTATAAGCTTTGTGTGTTGGGGGGGGGAAGAGTTACCACTTAAATTGAGTTTGGTTTTGTGTAGGGCAAGACCCAGCAAAGGTTTTATTACTCCTGTACTCTCTCTCAGTCCAGGGTATGTGTGCATCAATTCCTCTCATCTTTTTTTGAAATATCGGTCAGAAAATAATTTTTTACAGTAGTAGCTACTTCATAGTCATCATGTGTGTGCTTGTTTAACTTCACCACCTTATAACTGGTTTTGATGCAAGTATACGTTCAAAATGAAAGATGGTGCAATTGTATTTCCTCGACTAACCTGTGGAACTGGAAGGCTGCTTGGTTTGCTTGGATCCAGACAAATCCTCCATTAGCTTGCGCTGGAGCAGAAGAAGCCAGTTTGCGCAGATCTTAAGATGTGAGCTGAAGGATGAGTCTGAAAAGGGAGGTTTATTTGCTGCTGGGCAATGCAATGACATTTGGTATCAGGCACAGGCAGAAGCAAGCACACATTCTGCCTTCCTCTAGAGAACCTTATAATATGGAAATAAAAATCAAATACTGCACCAGATTTGCTCTTTGCAATAAGGAAATTGCTGTTGTTGCCTCTAAGGTGAGATGTACTAACCATGAAAAAGTAACTTTAGCCATCTTAAGGACAAGAATTAGAAAGGTAAGGGGGACATATCTGGGCAGCAGGGGACTTTCCCAGCTGTTAATCTGGCCAGCATGGCTGTCATTGCCTTTAATGAGAGAAGAGCCAGGTATTTGAGTGCATAGTCTGGATTCACTTGTGTCTCTTCTCTGAAAGATGACCCTGGCGGCTGCGTAGTGTCTCCTCACAGTGAATCCTGCAGCAGTTTTTCCAGAGCTGACTCAGGGAGAAGTGCTGACAACAGATTTTTCTAAATCCATAGCTTTTTTTTTTGGACGTCTCAAGTCAAAGTACAGACATAACCTGACTCTGTTTAGTCTTTATTTACCTGACATATCAGCATCTCTTTGAGTAAGCGCTATCTTTCTCTGGAACATTGATGCTTAAAACCATATGATGCTGAAAAAAAAAAAAAAAAAGCTTAAAATCTAGGTTGAAAATGCACCTTTAGCAATTTGTTGTGGTGTTTGCTTTTCTACTAGGTAAAGATTCAGTGAACATTGACTGTTTTGACTACAGGAGTGAAGAAAGAGCAGAAAATCCGGCTCCAGCCTATGTCTCTAATTCCTTTGCAAAGTGTATATCTCTCTATTTTTGAGGAAGTTTGGTATCAGAAAACTTGCTTAGGTTGCTTGCCATTAATAGGTGATGTACCAACTGATATGGATCTAGTCAGCCTTCTCTGAGGTAGGAGCAAGATTTGGAGAGAGAATTAAAAAATAACTGAGCTTTTAGTTTGTTTTGCTTGGCAAATAAAGTTTGTGTGATCACACTGTGTGTCTGTGTGTTCCTCATAGTTAATCTAAGAACATTACAATTATTAGTAAGTTCTGTCCAACTGTGCAAGGCTTGGAAAGCCTTTCTCTGCTTCCCTGAAAAGCAGCTTGAAGCAACACTCTGCTAGTTTCTGTCACTACATCCCTCCAGTGTTTCCCAGTTTCAGCCAGATGATGAGAATAACAGTTAAGGTGCTGCAGCTTGAGGAATAAAGAAAAGTAAATTGAAGGTGGGAAAGAAAAGTAGAGAGAATAAATACTTAATCAGGGCTCTGGGTTTTGGGGAATTACTTATCAGGGAGGAAGAACGTCCTTGTTCTGTGTTCTGAGTTCAGAGCTCCTAATACTAGAGGCAAGTGAGAGACAAAGTTTCCGGGGCTGGAAGACCTGTACTGGGATTCATTTTAGCTAACACTAGGTATCAAGAGAGTAGGTACTTGCAATTGCACCAGTTCCAGTAGGTTTCTTTCCCAGTAAGTAAAACTTAGACCTATTGACAGATGGTAGATACTTGGTTGACTCAGTTGAAGGTGGATGTTTAGAACAGTTCATGTGATTTATGCTCCAGAAGAGTCTGGATATTTTGGTAAAGGAATCTACATGCCTAATTTAACTGTTCTTATCTACATTGTATTTCTCTAAAGTTGGTGAAAAAACTTTTAGGATGAGATTAATGCCACCCCACCAGAAAGGAAAAGTCTAAAGACTCATCAGTGTGAATTATTTCTAGTAATTTTTCTTTATCCTGCTCCCATGGCTTGCTCCCAGCACAGGAATACACCTTCTAAAAGCCATAGAATCAGAAATTTAGAAAAAACAGTCTAGAAGTCCCTGTCTAAGTGTGGGATTAACATTCCCCTTTTCATTTCTGACATACTTGTCTAACATGTCCCTTTAACGCCTCTTATGAGGAGGAATCGGTAACGTCCCGAGTTGTTCTGTGCCCAGTGGTGAACTCTCCTGACTGTTTTTCAACTATCTTACCCCAGATTCCCTTGCTGTAAATGAAGCCCTTTACTACGTTTCTTATCTCCTCTGAACATGGGAAACAGATTATTACTTTTCTTTGAAAAAATCTGTGGACTACCATGAGCCTCATCAATTTTCTCTTCTTTAGGCTGAACGCTTAGTTCAGTCTTTCTTTATTCTGACTTCAGGCTCAAACCTGTCCTCGTTTTCTCTTCTTTAGGCTGAACGCTTAGGCTGAAAGGTTCAGCCTTTCTTTATTTTGACTTCAGGCTCAAACCTGTCCTCTAAGGAGGGTGTGTGTTCCTTGTTTGTATCATCTCCCTTCTCTGTTTTATGTCTTTCAGGAAGAGGCATTGCATATCCCCTTGGCAATCAGTTAAGAAAAGTCAGTTAATTAGGGATCCATCAAAGAGAAATACAAGCAGTCGGCACTATACATTGCAGTTTCTTCTCTCTTCCTTGATGTACAGATGGTTTTCATATTAAACACACTGTTTATCCCATGAAATACAGAATCAATAGGCACCACCCCCATCATAATCCTTAGCAATCATCTCCATATCTGACCTAACTGATAGATAAGATGGCCACACACACTTCCATAAGGAGAACTGCAGATGGGACATGAAGATGCATGGGAACGCCCATAAAATTAAGAAGTAAATAGTCCTTGTTTGTCAAGCGTCGGTGGCGATGCTGTTTTCATAGAAAGTTTTTGTGGGAAATGTAAGCACAAAACCGTTATATTAATGAAGCACACATTACATCAGACAGCTTGTAAGAAGAAAAATTCCTCAGCGTAGAATATGGCAGTGGCCGCTTCAGGCATTGTTAGCTTGCAGTTCTGGACGCTTTCCCAGAAATCCCAGGTTTTCTTTAACTGATGGTGGTTCAGTTTTCAAAGAAGAGAATAAGTCAGAGGATGGTTTTCTATAGCCCTCAGCTGCTTGTTGGCAGAGATTAGGGTTTAAGGGCCATGCTCACAAAAATATTTGCAATCAGCTATTATTTAGGCACCTAAATAGGATTTGGCAATGTAAATAACTCATGGGATTGGCCCTAAATGAGAACATCTCCTTGGCTTATATGGATATTTCTTTCTTAGCACTGTAAAATACGAGAGTTTTTGAGGCTGGCGGTATCAGACTTAAATTTTTTAAAATTCTGTTATTTTTTGTCTTTAGTTAATGTTGGCTGAGTGCTTTGGAAGCTTAAGAGTTGCACAATCTTAAGTGTGACAGTCTCCATCACATACTGGGACACATCGTGTAAAAAAGCTGCAATCTTGTTTTTGACCAAATCCAGTGTCTGCCTCGAAGCAGAGTGTAACCACCATAGAATGTCTGGATGTGAAAACAACTGCAGATAGCTTGTCAAGAGCACATATTGCTGTTATGGAAACAATGATGAGAATGATTCTCTTCTAGGGGAAAATTAAGACTGGAATCTTTGAAACCTAATTTCACTTTGACTTTGCTGGCCTATGTTAGACCTCAGCTCAGCATCTCTGTGCCAGCAGTGTTACTGCTTCATCTTGCCAGCAGCAGACAACTTGCCAGGAAAATCTGAGTCCTGCGGCGTCCGCACACGTGCGTGTGCACATGGAGGCATGCACACGCATCTGATTCAGTAACTGCGGTTAAGGTCAGGAGTATCACGTTTATCCCTGTTAATAACTGTCAGGTTTCTGTAACCTCAATTACTGTGTCCTTCCTAAAAGAGGGAGGAAGGGGAAATCAGTTATAGTCCTCGTCTACCCTGATTTATAGGGCAGAGACTGATGTGTTAAGCAGCTTTTGGCTGGACTTAGGAGTGGAGAGCATGCTGGCTGACTTACTCTGCCCTCGTCAAAAACTCGTGCTTTGGCAATGGGAAAGTGATGGTGGGTTCTGGGGACTTTGAGATATAACTTTGCTTTCAGCAGAGGCATAAATATAAAGTGTTCCAGTGCAGTGTGATATTTTCAAATGTCAACAACTGCTGGGCCTTGGAGACAGATATTCTGTGTACGAG